TGGTTCTTTTTAATTTGTTAAAACTTGAAGTTATTATCAAATTTATATATACTATTTTTATCAAATAGTTAATATAAAATAATAAACATGTAAATTGTTTTATTTTCTGTAAAAATTGTTTTCTTGATAAATTTCAATTGTTTATCACTATGTATATCACTTATAGTACTATATTACTTGTAATTTTTTGTTTTATTTATTTTCAGTATGTTATACATATGCATGCATTAAATATTGTGGGGAAGTCAAGTTTTGATGTTTTAGGTGCATTATAGCTATTATTTTTCAAAGATTTGTAGGATTTAACAAGATTTAAATTTTATTTTGTTTATTGGTTTTATTTGGAGAAAGCGATCTCATAGATTAAGGGAGAACTCAATAATAGTGGGATAAAATTTGCTTTTATGATTTAATATGACAATTCAAATAACATTAGATAAAAAAACTTGAAAACAAATCATGCTTTTTTACCATAAAAAATCCATAAGTTTTCCTTGGAAAGGTGTTCCTAATACCTATGGAAATTCCATGGTTTTTCCATGGATGGAAAATCATTGAATATCCGTGGTATTTGGAACACTTTTCCATGAAAAACTTAAAGATTTTTCATGGGAAATTCATGTGTTTCCCATGAAAACTCATGGTTTTTCCATGGAAAACTCATGGTTTTTCCATGGAAAACTCATGGTTTTTCCATGGAAAACTCATGGTTTTTTCATGGGAACGTGTTCCAAATACCCATGGTTTTTCCATGGTTTTTTTTTCTAAAATTCCCATGGGAAATTTTCGTACGGGTATATATATGTATGTATATATATATATATATATATATATATATATATATATATATATATATATATATATATATATATATATAAAATAAATATATAATAATATTTAATATTTAATATTTTCTTAGTAGTATTTTAATATAAAAAATTGATTCATTTTTTGAATATTGTTTTTTTGCTCGCTTCTTTTTCTTTCATATATACATATATATATATATATATATATATATATATATATATATATATATATATATATATATATATATATATATATATATATATAGAGAGAGAGAGAGAGAGAGAGAGAGAGAGAGAAAGAGAGTAGAAAATAAAAATACGTGAATTTCACAACTTTAAGTTTCAAGCTGTTGCAATCGTCAGGTGAAATACAAATGAAGTGTGTTTGTTAAAAAATTACAGGCGTCCCACTCCTAAAATAGGGTAAAATTTTATAATTTTGGGACAATTTTTCCAAGTTTTTTTCGACTTTTTAGGACAAATTAGTGTTAAATTTAGGACATTTTAGAACAATCGAAAGTTAGGAATGAGTTTTTGTATTTAATTATTTAAATTTAAGTTTATGGATTAACCCTTTAAATTCAATTATTATTAATATATTATTTACCTTTTGATACCCTTGGAAATTATTTACGTTTATATAAAGTAGATAATAAAGAAAATATAATTTAAACAAAAAATCTTTAACTTTACAACAACAACTCTTACATGTAAAACCTGCAAGTAATAACTTATATCTAAAATACTAAACAAAGTTAAATATACAATAGAATCCTGTTAACTCTGACCCTGGATAACTCGGACATAACAAAACATTTTTACATTTTTTTGTTAAGTAATCATTTTTATTAATTTTGTTATATTGATACATTTGTTGATACTTACAAGTCAGACTATATATATTAATTTCCCTTTAAAGTCTGACTTAAAAGAATTCTACAGTATTTTTACAATTTGTGATATATATTAAAGGACATAATAGAAACAAAGTATTAAATGTTAATAGATTTTTTTAAGTTAATTATCTGAAAAAACTGTTTTATTCAAAAATAAAATTCTAAATAAAATAATAATTCTTTTAGAGTTATAATACAACTAAGTTAAAATAGAGATTAAAAGCAAAATAGTTAGAGTTGCAATATAAACAATATAATTCTAAATTGACTAAATTGACAGTTCTTTACTCCTTTTTTCTAAAACATCATTCATCAGCAAGCTCTTGTCTTCTTTTCATCCCATTTTCAATTTTACACTGGGCTCGCTGCAATTCATTTCTTGTGCTGTTTTTATGAAGCAAACACTTCTTTAAATCACTATTTCCTTCAAAAACTAAATCATCAGCAACTGATAGACCGTTTTTTATCTGCAAAAAAACAAACTTTTACTTCATGCAATAATTAAAAAAATGAAAATTAAGTACAAATCACATTACCAAATCAATTTTCATGAAGTTTAGTATAACATACTTGTTGAATGGATGCAAGAACAGCTTCTTTTTCATTTTTCAAAACATGTTGTTTTGCCTCCTCAGTTTCCTTAGTTTTTATATGCTTCTCTTCCTTCTCTTTCAACCTGCGTTTAGCTTCCAGGTCAGCTTTGTAACTTGAGTGAGCAAATTTAACTGATTGTATAAATGACTTTGTTATTGGAATATCGAGTATGGATCCAAAGCTTAATATAGTATCTTTTACAAACCTCAAAGCCTCAATTGTCTCTGGATCAAGTGAAGTACCATGTAACTGAATAATGTGTTTGTTAATTAAAAATCCATTCTCGGGGGCACTATTTCCATGCGAAAGTGAAGAAACAACTTTGAAAAGAGATGTAATATTGGAAAACTTAGGTGAACCACTGTCATTCAAAATTTTAGTCTCAAAGGAATTGATTAGTGTATCAATATCAAAACTACATAAAAGTTTTGAAACTATAGGAAGACCCGCAAGCTGAAAGGCTTTTTCCCAGTAAGAAGTTTGATTTCTCCCAATTGAAACTAATTCTTCCGAACATTTATAATAGCACTCTGGAAGCAATTCCATTTGGTAAATTCGCCATTCGCTTCGTACAATATCACAAACCTCTTCCTTTGATGAACAAGATGGAAAAATTTTACATAAGACTACTTCCAGTGATTTGCATACTTCTAGAGTGAGATTTGAGACAGCTGCTAGAGACTCGTTACTACCCTTTTTTAAAGGATCAAGAAAGATTGCATTTTTTAAAATAGTTGATTCCCAAGGTAATTTTAATTTTAAATAACTAGTAAATGCTTGATAAGACTCAAGACAATTTTGCCGAAATTTCTTTTTGCCATATGAGATTTCTAAAGCTTCTGAAAAATAAGATTTGGCTTTTGTGCCAATATCAATTAATTTTAGTGGTTTACAATTTTTTGAGTCAATCACATCAATCATCAGCAGCTCATTAATAGATTTTATGGAATTGCTGCCATTATTATTAACATACAGAAGCTTAGTTTTGATAAACTTGGACATTAATGCAACAAAAAGTTTTGACATTTCAGAGTAAATCAGGTGAATTCTTGGTTTAATTGATTGAAATGTTTTTAAAAATATTTCAAAGTCATTTGCTATGAAAGCAATAAAAGAAATATACGGCATCAATATTTCATTTTGCAAAATATCTGTAATCTTCTTATATCTTTCAGTATCTCTAACAGTTGATTTAAAAGATGTAGTTGTTGGAAGAAATTTTATAAAATATTTCCAAAGATTCTTGTGTTGTTCTAAAATCTGAGAACATATTCTTCTGAGTGTCACCCATCTTGTTGAAGAATGTCTTTGAATATAGTGTGAAATAATTTCTGTTAGATCTTCTATTTGTTGATAGTCAGATCTTCTTGCAGCAGAATGTTTAAAGAAAAAGTTAACATCAATTGCAAATGAGTCAATGTTGAAATTTAAAACATTAACTCCTGCTCTAAATGCATTATGAACTATATGAAGAGGGCATGTGCCTATTGATATAATCTTTTTATTCAAATTTTTCGTTTTCTCTGACGACTTTAAAAGCCTCTCAAACTTAATATTTACATTAGGACCATCCATACCAATATGGAGTATAAACTTTATGTTAAGCTTAACTTTTTCTACAAGCTCAAGGATATGTTCTAACAATTTTTCAGCAGTACAATGGTCTACCATGACAGTTCCACAGTATGCAATTTTAATGCACTTGTGCTTTCTAGACCAATATTGTACATAACCATCATACTGTTTATTAACTTGTTGATTAGTAGATTCGTCAAATTTAAATGTAAAAACAGTATCATTTAAATCCTCCAATAACAACATTTTAAATATAGAAAGATGCCGTACTGAATGGTGTATTTAGACTTAGTTTCACTTTGTCTGTATCCTTTAGCAATTTTTGAATCTGGAAACATTGCTTCAAACATTTTACTATCTTCATTGGTTGAGGCAAAAGAACACATTTTAAACTATGATCATTCATTTCAGCTTTTAAAATCTCTTCCTCAATGGTGTAACTAATCTTAGAAGCTTTTAATTCAAGTATTTTATCTTTATTTTTACTAAATTCTGACTGTCCTTCTCTTTCTTTAAACCTTGATGTGTGAAGTTTGCTAATTGCATGGCTTCTTACTTGTCCAGCTCCACTTCCACTGATTGAAAAGGTTTTCTGGCACAATTTGCAACTTGCAGAATAGTGATCACCAGAACAAACTTGGATCCAGTTAAACTCAGACTCCCACAATTTATTATATTTTGTTTTTCTCTTAGACATCTTATAAATAAACAGTTGAACTATAATTTCACAAAGTAATCTAAAAACTTTTTACAACTTTTTCTATTTTATAGACTGATATAAAAACAACAATAAAGTTGACAATTAATAATAATTACACATTCAATAGATATGAATAATAATGACTTTGTAGTACACACTGTTTTTTGACAGATTAATAATTATTTTCAACTAGCAGTAAGCAACCCGTAATACGCGTTGTTAGTAAATAAAATTAAAAAAAAAAAACGCGTATAAAAAAGCCTAGAAACTACTTTAAAATAGAAAAGCCTAGAAAATGACGTAACTCTACCAATTAAATTAGCGTATTCATATTATCAGAATACGCACATTTTAATGTACACACAATATGAATAATTTACAATAAAATACTTATAGTAATGTTGTTGTTTTTTTTTTATAAAAAAC